TATATTTAACAAATACTGCCGGCCCGAGACAATTTACTGCCCTAGGCAAATGCCAAATTCTCCGCTCCTGCCGAACTTATAAGTTTTGAAAACTATTCAGGACATTTTGTTAAAATAAAGCACTCATATTCCAAAGGTTAAACATAAATAATTAAGAAGATAATTATAATCTAAGTCTAGTACAATAAAAACGAGTTATTGAAATAAATATTTTTTAATAATTATTATCATTATAAAACATAATCATAAAGGTAGAGCTAGTGTAAGAGTTAGTGTGAGATGGCTTGTTCTAGTGAAAATGTAGGGCAATAATCCTAAAAAATTATTAAATAAAATTAGTGAAAATAGAGAAACAAAAATGAAAGTTGATCCTGAATGTCCTGAGGGGCCTAAAAGAGTTTTGAATTCTTTGTGTAAGGTCATTAGGGTTGAGTTTCAGAAAATATATATAAATATATTTAATTTTGAAAAATTAGACGCAACTGTTTTAATGTTGAGAGTTTGTGCAACTTCAATTTCAACTGATAATGTTGCCAAGCCGGCCAGTCTTTCTGGACGCATTGTAGAGCGCAAGTAGGATTTAAAATTAAAAACGTTCGGTGGGGTACTCTTATGATCAATTTTTCTACCAATAGCTTGTACTTTGTTGCATAAATCTGCTGTATCTATATTCGTCAATCAATCGTGAGTTAATGACATTATTTTAATAAAATTTAAATTAAATAAAATGTGTAAAGAAAATTAGCTAAAAATCCTCCCTAAAATTCGTGCATCCTAGTCAATTGCCTAATAAGTCTTTATAGGTGGGCCGACCCTGTAAACAAATCGAATGTCAGCCAGCAACTGGGAAATCGTAAAATTCGTTATTTATTGACAGTTGAAAGCGCTAAAAAGTCGATTCGCGCATTTCGGCAAGTAAGAATAATTCTATGTCTGGCACTTAGTCAATACTCACATACATATACTCATACACATAAGTATATAAACAAAAAATATATATATATGGGTATATGAATTAAAAAAATAAGTGATGCGTCTATCATTGGAGCGCATTGGCTTCTAAATCATCTTTTATATTAGAATACTTCGATTATTCGCCCAACTTCGCCAACAACCAATATGTAATTAACGCTTTTCTGCCAAGCTAGTGTAGTGATCTTAAGCCTTTTCCAAACGGTTAATATATTTTGAACTTTTCTAATATAACATACATATATACTTACACATGTTTTATAAAAAACTTTTTTTTTTATTGATTATCAGCACTTGAAAATTTTTTAAAATGTGGCAAATAATTAATTGTGCTAATAAATAATTACCATCCGAGCAATTAAGTTCGAAATATTTAAACTCAGCTAAACAACAATAAAAAGAATAATTAATTGTGGATTTCTGCAAAATTTCTAAGCACATTTTTTAAGGCTTTCCGGACATCTGGCATCAATAAATGACACCACATGGATGTTAACACTCTTATAAATACATGTATAGTATATAAAGGGTGTGTTTTTTTTTTAGAAATATGAAACACACATTGAAATGCAAAATATATAATGTAGAATTTTGATCATGTTAGTCGAATTTAACACCTCATTCACCCTAGCTGGCCTTTTCTTACCAATAATAGTAATATTCGACTGTTCAGTAGAATTTAATTTATTATATTAGATTTTACTTCCAAAAAAGGAGCTTAATGGTATCAAATATGTGACACAAATGGCCAATTGGCAGGTTCACAACTGAATAATAATCGGTCAGCAAAATTTTTTGGAAACATTTCCAAGAGATTTAACGTTTGTTTCGGTGTAAGTCTTTGTGAGGAGGAATATAAAAAAAATGTGTTTTTTTTTAAAGGTGGCTTGACAGTTATACCACTCTGAGTTTTATAACTCTAAAACCAACACCTTATACTTATGAGCAAGTAATAAATATAGTAGCAAGTTTATAAAATAAAAGCATGAGAGTTTCAGACCTCACACAGAATAACTCTTTGGGCTATGTGTGTATGTCAGTTTTCACACCCAAAAATTGTTTTTCACCCTATGAACTTTTATAACCTTGAACAGGGTATACTAAATTTGCCATGAAGTTTGTAATTTCCAGAAGAAATGTCGTGAAGTAAATATATACATGATCAGCGTGCCGATCTCAGCCCTTTCGTCTGTTTGTATATACGCGAACTAGTCGCTCAGCGTTGGAGATGCCGTCATGAAATTTTGCACACGTCCTTTTCTGCTGTTCATGTGCCGATATCGGATCACTATAGCATATAGCTGCCATACAAACTTAACAATCAAAATTAAGCTCCTGTATAGAAAATTGTTTATTAGTGAGGGGTATTATAGCTTCGGTGCCGCTGAAGTTAATGTTTTTTCTTGTTTGATAAAATCTTAGTTTATTCGTCTTAAATTATGCTTTTGGATGCTGATGGTATTATCCAATAAGCTAAAGGTTGTTAAATTAAACTCATAATCATTAAAAAGCGTATGAGAACACTTGACACTTAGGCTCAAACTTAATACAATAAATTCGGGTTTGTGTTGCTATGTGAATGTTCTAGAAGCATTATTAATTTTAATGAGCCTTGGGTGTCGCTCACAATCGACACTAGGCATTTTTCATTAATAAAAACTGTAAAAATTGTTTAAAATTCTTTTCGCACCCATCGTTTCCTTCGGATACGGATCTCAACGATTTTTTCCTGTCCTTAAACCCCAATTAAATTAAAAAAAAGTATGTGCTACAACCTTTGGACTTTATATATGTTACATATGTATTAATACAAGCTTGATAGCTCTTTGTTGTAAAGTTAAAATTTACTTTGTGGAAAGTTATGGCATTCTAAAAATAATGGACCAGTTGTGACTATCGTAATATTGGGAAGAGCCGTTCGAGGCGCTACCTCCACTTTTCATTAAGTAGAAACCGTTATGTGGCCTTACAAGTTCGCATGTAATTTGAATATGACGCCTTTAATTTTAAATTATTTAAAATTAGCCAGCAGAAACAAGTTCGTTTCAAACAAAAAACAAAAAAACGAAATTAACGCTCCTCTTTGCATTCTTAAACGTAATGACGCATTTGATAATTTTAGTTTGTCATAAAGATTGATGGGCAGGAATATTTTATTTGAAACTGTTAAGAAAATGCAACAACAAACTGTAAACTAATTGACTTAAATTTAAAATTCCGTTATGTATTTAAATGTGTTCATTTGTACACTTCTATATGTTTGTATATACAAGACTTTAATCCGATTTTGAAGATTTGAAACTTTCATGAAATTATGAATCGAAATTATGACATTATCTATGGAGTATTTTATTTAAATTGATTATTTTCATTAAAATAAAGCTGTTTTGAAATACTCAAACAAAAATTAAAGTTTGGGTTGTACATAAGAGCTTTTTTAGGAGAATAAGGTATAGCTTGTTGGAAATCTCTATGGCCCAGAAGTCCATAAAAATTTCAAGTAAAAGTTTAAGCTTCGACGAAAGTAGATGTAAAAACTAGAAATGTTATGAATGACGCCCCATATATAATATGGATATGCTATGCCATTTCCCGTGACAGTCGGGTCTACGTAACCAGAACGGACCCGGATTTCTATCTGGCCGAGGACTGTCAACTCGGCAGCATTCCTAGAAATTACTTAAGGAAGTTTTTTGCTGCTACAACAACAACAGCACCCGTACTGCGTTTCAAATCGAAAGCATGCTTGGCTTCTGTTTTTAAAAAAAAATACACACACCTACTTTTCTAAATTAAGTATTCTTATCTCTACAATTTGCTTGAGTTCATTCCGTAGCCATAATTTACATTTCTTGACATATAAAAAATATTTAAATTAATTTTTTTCAAAGAACCCTAAAGTTAAACTTAATTTATAAACGGATGTTGTTGTCAGGAGAGCGTGATTTATTCTAAATAATCGTCACATAAATTAAACTTTGATTTTGAAATCTGCGATACTGCGATACATAATTGTAATTCGAGCTTTGTGAAAAATTGTTAAGACATTTTAATAGTTACCACAATTCGAAAAGAAAAAAAACATAGAAATTTGAAACATTTACAATAAATATAAATTCGAAAACCATATTTTTTATTAATATGTTCTTCCAGAGATAATCAAAAGGCAAATGTATGGCACTAAATATTTATTTGCGTTTGAACAGCATGAAATTGATGTATTTTATCACAAACAAATTAGGGTAGCATCTAACTTTTGCAAAGTTAAAGTAACCGTTAAAATATATAAGAATATAACACAAACTTGCCAAAAATTAAATACAATGAATCAATCAATTTTGTTTTTTCGGTTGATAATGTAGAGTATAAAAATATTGCCATATTAACTTAAACATTTAAAAAACATTAAACACGAATTAATTCTGACCAGTATTTCTTTAGAAAATATTGTAATAACAATATTCCATAAAACTACAATTATTAACAAAAAAAAAAACAATAAAAATTGTAAATAGCAAACACCAAATTTTTCTGATCAATCTTCTAAAAACTTTTTTTTTTGTTAATAATTGAGCTAATTTAAAAAATATAGCAGCTATAAAATATAAAGACAGAGCTTCAAACCATTTTTGATTTAAACACAATTGAATTAATTTATTGTTTCACAATTTGTAACTCAAAGTATTTTTTAATAGCTGCACGTAAAAATTAATTAATTGCTTGCATATTTTTAAAAATTATAGCCTTTTCTACTTACTCTACTCCTATACAAAAAAAAAAAAATTATTTATGTTATAAAGATTATATACAATCCTACGCACAGGTTCAATAAATATTAACAACAATTTGTGTTATAAATAATTTTACGCCTGAACATTAAATCACAATCGCCATAAAAATGTATAGTTAAACACAACTGACGCTAATAAGCTTGAAATACATTTTATTAAAAATAACCGGTAACACAATATTTATTTATCGATATTACACGCCAGTTAATCTATCTACCAAAACACTTTTCCACTTACAATTTATACAAACCTGTCGTCGGCACTTTTTGTAAATGTTTGTATATAAGGATTATATATTTACATAGATGAATATATGTGTATGTGCACGCAACCCGTTAGTTCAAAATGCAAACTCAAATTGCATGTGATACTTAAAACCCGTTGCTCAATAAATAAAATGAAAAATATTATTTCATGTGCAATCAGGCTATGCATTTACACCAACAACATTAAGTTGTAATAGAAAAACGTTATATTTTTTGTTTTATTTTACTTTCCGTTTCTTTTATATTGTTGCAACTTGTGTATTTTTGTGCAATTAATGTGTAGCAGATTTTTTTTTTATTTGCTTCCAAATTTACACACTGGAAATGCGTTGAAAAACATGAAATGTAAAATGTTGTGTGCGTATTTTTAGCACATTTACACTACGAGCGATTTTATTTTATTTTATATTGCAATTGCATGCGGGTGCAAGTGCCCATACACAATAAGCAAAACACAACACTTTGTGACTAGCCACCGGCAAATAGGCGTTTACGCGCGAGAATACTAGTACGCTGCTATGCGTCCGACCATCGTATGCAAACGTAAACAACAGAATGTGTACTGAGTCGGAGTGCCTGCGATAACCGTCAGTTTTGATCTCGCTTGGCCGGAACGAATGTGAACAACGTTATCGACGGAGCGCTGGTATTGTTGTTTTGGTAGCTATTGTTGCTGCTGTGGACCTGGCAGTGCAACGGCAATGAACAGTGTTTTCGTGGTTGCCATTCGAGTGGAAAATATGCAAGTGCTTGTGTAAATAAACAATTTGTCAATTCATTCAACTCATTAATAAATAAACTTTAACACTATATTAATGTTTGACTATTAAATACATAATGAAAAAATACAACAACTCAATTAAATTGAAATTACTTTTCTTTTAAACACTTTTTCATACTAAAATTACCAAAAAATTGCTGAAACACAATTTGAAAGTGTAATGTGAATAATACTTTTATTAAATTTGGTAATGGTAAATCAGCACTTTGGCAAAATAATCTTATAAGTTCGAAAATTCGAAGTCGCACATGGCAACCTTATTCACTGTACTTCGAATTTTAATTATTCCTGAATTGTTGTGTTTGGTGAAAATATCGAAAAGCATTTGGAGTATTTTTTACAATTTTCACGTTGAAATAAATGCTAAGAAAGTGCTCAAATAGATTTTGTTATGACATCGATGGAACCTGCACAGAATAAAACATGGGATTTATCTTTGTATGAGCTGCAACGTAATCCGCAGGAAATCATCACTGACAATACTGAGATTGCAGTCTCACCTAGAAGTCTGCACAGCGAATTGATGTGTCCTATTTGTTTGGATATGCTAAAAAAGACGATGACAACCAAGGAGTGTTTACATCGCTTCTGCTCTGATTGTATTATCACCGCTTTGCGGTCGGGCAACAAAGAATGCCCAACTTGCCGCAAAAAACTTGTCTCGAAGCGTTCACTACGGCCTGACCCAAATTTTGATCTTTTAATATCGAAAATATATCCCAGTCGTGAAGAGTATGAAGCCATACAAGAGAAGGTCATGGCAAAATTTAACCAAACTCAATCTCAACAGGCATTAGTTAACTCGATAAATGAAGGCATTAAGTTACAATCTCAAAATCGACCACAACGTTTTCGTGCTAAAGGCTGTGGTGGTCGTAATGGCGGCGGAAATGGTAACGGAAATCACAATTCTGCCAATGCGAACAACTCTAATAATGAAAGTGCTACAAATGGTAATGATAGTGATAACAGGGAAAGTGGTAATGCACCACAACCTACAGCTGCTGCACCTTCAACACATTCTAGCACTTCGGCGGCAGCCGCATCAGCGTCGGGTAGCAGTGCCAGTACTAGTCGAATGCAACATGATGACGGTGGCTCTAATCCACCGTCCATGCGCAGTACACCATCACCGGTACCATCGAACTCGAGCAGTTCGAAACCGAAGCGTGCAATGTCGGTATTGACGTCGGAAAGATCTGAGGAGTCAGAATCTGACTCACAGATGGATTGTCGCACCGAAGGCGACTCTAATATTGATACAGAGGGTGAAGGTACCGGCGAACTGGGCATAAATGATGAAATAGAATTGGTATTTAAACCACATCCGACTGAAATGGCTGGTGATAATCAGCTAATGAAAGCTTTAAAAGAAAACTGCATACGCTATATAAAAACCACAGCCAACGCTACAGGTAAAAAGTATAAATTATTGTTTTTCTATTTACTTTAAATGGTCTATCTCAATTTTGCAGTGGACCATTTGAGTCAGTATTTAGCCATGCGTCTGACACTGGACTTGGGCGCAGAACTACCAGAAGCTTATCGTATGCTGAATTTTTGTATTTACATAGCTCCGCAACCCCAGCAACTGGTCATGTTAAATGGTAATCAGACGTTACATCAAGTAAATGACAAGTTCTGGAAGGTATCAAAAGTAGTTATTAAATTCCAACGCTAAATCTTAACAAAATGACTTATTTCTTGCACATTGTTTCAGGTTAATAAACCAATGGAGATGTATTACTCGTGGAAGAAATCCTAAGTTGGTGTATATTTAAAAGCTTACACTTATGCTAGGACAACGACTTCTGAAGAAAAGCGGCATTATATCCGATTTTATTAATTTCAGCATTTTGAGTTTACATTTGAAAAGGAATATTATAACAAGGGCGTGCCTAAAGCATGAGCCTTGTTTACTAATATAATAGTATATGTATGATTGTAAAACTAAATTAATTAATTAAACGGCGTGAGTTGTGTGCAAAAAAAGTAATTTATTTTATATATAAGTGTATAATTAAGCACATTGAACACCATATTATTCTGCCTAATAATACACAAATAAAGCAGAATGGTGCGAAAATATAATACACATATTACCTATATAGTACACTATATAATGGACGTTTTTAGAAAACAAAAAAAAATGTTTTGATGTTTCTTCAATCAAAAACATTCAATAGGAATCGTAACTATACAACTTGATGCTTTTTTGGTACACTACTTGAGGCAAATAAATATATATAAATACATATGTAAGAAAGCAAATATTTGAGGCAGTTGAGCTTTGCTAAAATTTTCGTTGTTTTCGCTTTTGCCTCGTCCTCGCGTTTCAAGTCCCTCGCTTCAGTTTATTTAATATCGCTTGTTTGTAATTTTTGAATTGATCACTGGCTTCGATTTCACTACGATAATCCGCTTGAATGCGCTTTATATCACGCTCTATTTCATGTATGTGTATATCGGGCTTTTGTTTTTCTTCCAGCATCATTATGTACAAATTTAATTTTTTCTCTAAATAGTACTTTAATTCCATTTCGACTAGTGTATTTATTTGATCATATGTTAGACTACTCTCTTTTAAATAGTTATTGCACAATTCATAAATATCTAAGTAACATTCGATTTCCCCTTTATCTCCACAACGATCCTGTTCTAAGAACTTGCGAAACATCTTTGCGGCCCGGAGGTCATTTAGAGTCTCTTGTGTACTTAAGCGATAAATACGTCGGACTTCATCCTCCGTCATTTCTGAGCAACCACAAAAACATTTCAACAGACGTACAGCCTATGGGAAAATATGTTAATAAACAATAGATTAAACTATTTGTTTTGATTTTTGTTTTGCAATATTTTTAGTGCGATGACGTGAGCCTAAAGGGCTGATGTAGTACTTTCTGCGCACGTATGTGCGTATAAAAATGCATTTGTGCACTAACCTTCTGTGAACCAGTTGCCATGTTAAGATGGAATATATATTATTACTT